ACCCCGACAAAAAAAAAAAAAAAAAAGAAGAAAGAAAAGAAAAGGCTTCTTTGCCTGGGGACTCTGATCCCTAAAGGCAATAAGAGAATGGTCTCCTCTCTGCAGTGGGGTGCCAGGGCAGGACTGCCATGTGTGGTTGCACAGGCTGAGCGCTGCCCAACCTGCACAAGCCTCCATGCTGTCCTGGGTGGACAGGATTCCCCCCACGAGCCTCACAAGCATCTCTGCCTCCCCCAGTGCGAGGAGATGAAGGCCACAGTGATCAGGCACGGGGAGACCCTGCGCCGCACCAAGGAGGAGATCAACGAGCTCAACCGCATGATCCAGAGGCTGACGGCCGAGATTGAGAACGCCAAGTGCCAGGTAGTGTCCGGGGAGGATTTAAACACCCAGCACAGGTGAGATGCAGCTCCAGGCTTGCTCCCCAGGAAAGCAAAGGTGTTGCCCTAATCAGGTCTCACAGTGTGCCTGTGAGGAAGCAGAGACCCAGAGAGAGGGCAGGGGCTCTTCACAGCCCTGAAGCTGGGAGGAGCCATGACACTGACTTCCAAAGGAGCATCCAGCACCCCGCCCCCCAGGCCTCCCCATGGCCACCATCAAGGAGAGATGGTGAAAAGCCCACCCGCCCTCTCCCTCATGTTCACATTAACCACCTGACCATGGGCCGACCTGCTCTCAGGGACCCTCCTCTCCTGCCCTAGTCCCCTCAGCTTGGGCAAGCCGTGTGGTGCCTTCTCCGTCTGATGCTAACCCTCATGTGTCCACCCCACAGCGCGCCAAGCTGGAAGCCGCCGTGGCTGAGGCCGAGCAGCAGGGGGAGGCGGCCCTCAGCGACGCCCGCTGCAAACTGGCGGAGCTGGAGGCCGCCCTGCAGAAGGCCAAGCAGGACATGGCCTGCCTGCTCAAGGAATACCAGGAGGTCATGAACTCCAAGCTGGGTCTGGACATCGAGATCGCCACCTACAGGCGTCTGCTGGAGGGCGAGGAGCACAGGTGAGGCCCAGCAAGACCTCACTTGTAGAGGGGTCTCAGGGTAGAGGCCGCGATGCTCTAGGAGTAAATTTCCTTGAGCTGAATGTGAGCCACGGCTCTGACCATGGCCAGAACAGGCCAAGCTTCAACAAGAATAATAATAAGCAATAGCTTACAGAATGTTTCTTGCATGCTAGACCTGTGCTAAGAGTTCACTTTATCCTCCTCACAATCCAGTGAGATGGGTGTCATTTTTCCCATCCAAAGATAGAGAAATCGGCTCAGAGTCCAGTGCCCTTCTCATGACTCTGCCATTGAGCAGAAGTTCTGGGACCTGCACCCAAGTCTTGGGCCTCCCAAATCCATCCCTGTTGAATAACTCCCTGTGCACTGATAAGACTCTCTTTCTTTAAACGCGATTGGCCCAGTCCAGGGTGCGCTGTGGTCCCTCAGACGGGAGCAGCGTGTGAAGCTCATAATCTCACTCACTGCTGCTGGAAACCAGAAGGGCATGTCTCCATGGTCAGAGAACCATAGAAGGAGGGAGGGTGGGAGAAAAGAAAGGAAGTATTTAGTGTAGATCAGAGGAGCACTTCCTGCCTCTCAGGGGGAGACTGTACCCAGGGACCTTCTCTGTCCTCAAGCAGCCACTGGGTCTCTGGGAATCCGTGTCTGGAACTGACAGTTTTCTTTCCCCCCAGGCTGTGTGAAGGTGTGGGTTCCGTGAATGTCTGTAAGTACCTGCCTGAAATCCCCCAGAAAATGGCTTTGTGGATGGGCAAAGGGAACTCTTTGGCCTGACCAATTAAGCCTGGAATGTTCCTCCAAGGGAGAGAGGACCTTCCACCCTCCCCTCATGAGGACCGTGAAGGGAGCTAGAGAAAACAGAGCTGCGTGCCCTCTTCTGGTGGTGACAGAGAGCCACAGACCATGGCCAGGGGTTGGCAGCTTTGCTTCTCTGGGTGCAGGGGTCCTCACTGTCTTCCCACCCCCGGCCCCTAGGTGGGCTGTGCGGCTGAGGACCCAGCCTTCGTTGATGGCTGCCAACCCCCAGAAGTGGAGGCAGCTCCTGACCCTGCGCTCCCGGGGTCCATCGTGGGGGATCATGGGGGAGGGTGTGAGGTCACAACGAGCCACTCACACATGTCTCCTCTTCCCTCAGGCGTCAGCAGCTCCCGTGGCGGAGTGTCCTGCGGGGGCCTCACCTATGGCACCACTCCAGGGCGCCAGATCACCTCTGGCCCCTCGGCCACAGGGGGCAGCATCACAGTGATGGCCCCCGACTCCTGTGTCCCCTGCCAGCCCCGCTCCTCCAGCCTCAGCTGCGGGAGCAGCCGGTCTGTCCGCTTCGCGTAATGGAGTCTCGGAGCCTGGGCCTCCCACCAAGCGCCAGCCCTGCCTGCGCCAGCCAAGCATTGAATGGTGTGTGAATAGAAAACGTGTGCTTGCTTCCAGAATCTTCCAGATGTTCCCACAGAGGGAAAGACCCTCGGGCCGCTCTCCTCCACCTTCTCGTGTTGGGGAGGTGTGTCTCCCAGTTTCTTCTTGTTATTTTTCTTCATGTCATCCCCTGTCCTTGGCTTAGACCCCAGCCTGGCTCTAAAATACCTGTGGTCAATTTGTATGATTCTCCGAGTTCTCTGGGACACTACCAGCCACCCAGAGTGGCTAGACAGCATGGATGCTGGGCCGTCCCTGGGTCGAGGCACCATCCTAACCATCCAGCCAGGGTCCCCACGACATGAGAATCAGAGAGAAAGCCCCTTCCCAGGAGCTGCCTCCTCCCAATTGGCCAACAAGGATGGCTCCCCAGCAAGCATATGCCTGTGTATCCTTGTGCAAGCCGACCGCCGTCCTTCTCCTGGGTTCTCCTGCCCCAGCCAGACTCCTCATGTGACCACCCCCCATTGAGTGGACCCTTGTCGTGGGGAAGCCCTTTTGTCTACAACCCCCTCCAGTGAGGGATGCTGGATGGGTCTTGCCATTCAGTGCACCTTTATACATTTCAAATAACACTCTGTGGTTGCTCCCAATGTCCCCTGCCAGTGCAGGAGGGGACAGACCCATGCAGAGCTGGTGGGATGGAGCAAGTCAGGCCACTCCCCGGGTCTCCCTCTTGGCGTGACTGTCTGTGGGTGCCTTGCCTTCTGGGTTGCCTCAGTCTATGTTTCAATAAATGCTGCCATGCAACGGTATGTGATCTTGTCAGCGACCGTGTCTCCACTGCCTTCTCGCCCCATCTCCAGGCAACCCAGTCCAGGCAGTGTCCCCCAGTCACCCCACTGACTGGCTCTACCTGCCCACATCCACAGCCAGATTCCACCTGGTCCTCCCCAGCCCCCTCAGGCTGGGACTACAGCCCCAGCTCCCAGATGACCTCTTTCTTCCTGACCCCGCTATGCACACTCCCATTCCAGACTCACTGCTCTTCCCTGCCTGCCTGGCTGAGTCACTCCCAGCAAGGCAAGCTCCCTCCATTCCCCTTCCCACCTACCCCAGCCCTGTCCGGCCCCCACCCAGCACGGATCCTCCCAGACACGAATGCCACTCTGAGGAGATAGGTGTACCCTCTGAGGTCCCCAGAACCACTCTTGTTCTTCCCTTGTAGACATAGAGGCCTCCTCAAGTGCCTCCTCCTATCTATCTTTGCTCAGTGCTCTCCTCTGCCATTCCCCCTCCATGCCTCCTCCCACCTCCCCCCCCACACACACACAGTATACAGAGCCCCAAGGATCCCCAATTCTGTCTGTGGCTCCAGGTCAGGGATGTCAATGGGTGTGTCTGGAGCCTGAAGCAAGCTGGAAACTCCTTGAGGGCAGGAAATGTCTCCTCCTGGCTCTTACCTTCCAGTAAGTCCCAGGATGGGGATCCAGGATGTGCCAGGCCTGGGATGTTTTGGATGAACTCAGGCAGCTGGTACAGCAGGAGGTGCAGTCATGCAGCCTTCTTGGGCTCAACTCCATCTCCATTAGGGAATGAACTAGTGTCACTGTCATCAGGCAGGTGCACACCCACCAGCCACCCTGCCCCTCACCCAGGCTCTATCCCTGAGAGGTATTAAGGCTGTGTGTACTCTCACCTCATATCCAAAGGGTTGGAGCCTCCCCCAGAGGCTGCTGGCTGCCTCAAGAGCCCAGACTCCCTGACTGATACTCATCAACCTCCTCCAAGTCTCTTGCTTGTCCCCTCCTTCTTTCTGGCTCTCTGGTCTTGAGAGTGTGGTCATGATCACAGGCCAACGGTCAATCTTGGAGACATCATCCATTCACAGTGTTAGGTCTTTGAGAACCATTAAGTCAGTGGGCTGGTGCCATGGGTAAGATGCAAAGAATTGCACTGAAGTTATATTGAAAAATACAGTTTATTTAGAAAGTAGATTAGAGAGAGAGGGAGAGAGAAGATTCATTTCTCCAAGGCTAGGAAGGGGGCCAAAGCTTAGGGAAAAGCATTGCTAGGCCAGAGCTTAACCAAAGCATAGTGGCAGCTGCTTGAGGTTGAGTGCTTTTTAAACCTTTCCTTTGATGAGGGCAGGCTGTTAAGGTGATTGGGTGGTAGTCTGTTTGACAACATCATGAAGGGGCAGGTAAGCATCATGATTTCATGGTGATAGATGGCAGGCAGGTGGGTAAGTTAGTCTCATAACTGTTGTCATGGTGTAGGGTCTTTCGAAGGGCTGATCACAATAGACTAGGCTAGCTTGGTTTTTATGGCTGGAAGACAAATACTTGGAATAGAAAAGCTAATTCGTGCAAAACAAGCCAGGGAAGGAGTTGTAAAACAATGATCAATAGCTACATGAGGAAATGGGTTCTGCCCTTGGCTAATGATTAGAGGGCAAGCTAGGTAATTTGCTAAAGAAGCATGACAGAGTTCAGCAGTGTTAAAATGGTTGCACTTTAACTAAGATTACTTCATTAAATTATTCTATTTTGGCATTTCATCCTTTCAGGGGACATCATTCATCCATAGGAAAGGTTAAATTTCAGGGGCTGAAAAATCAGGAGTTCAAAATTTGAGCCCCATCTCTGCCGAGACTGCCAGGTCTCAGAAGACCTTGGGTGAGAGGTGGCTTCCGTGCTTTGGGCCTCAATCTGGGGTCTGGGACCTTAGGGGGTTGAGTCCTTTCCAGTCCCACCTGCTCCTGTGGTCTTGGGATGCAGGAGTGAGTCTATGCTCAGGAAATCGACTTGAGTTACCGTGGATCTGGACCAAGCAAAACTAAAATACCAAGCTAAAATGTCAACGCTGATACCCAAGAAATAATGACATTATGCATTGGAAAGTCAAACAACCAGAATCTAGGAGCTATGAATAAGCTTTTTAATACATTCCCATGCTTTGTATGCAAAGGCCAGTCAAGGATTCAGCAGAAGAAGCCTCTGGCTATGAGGATGTGAGCCCCTCCCCCAGTACTTCTTGCAACCAACAACAGAACCCAGAGCACTGCTTCTGGTTCAAAGCATTCTGGGGCTCCCGCAGCCTTCTCCTGATCAAAGTTCTATTCCCCATAGAAGGCAAAGGGTACAATCCAAGGGTGACTAAGGATTTAAGTTTTATTAGAAAGGAAAAATGTTAAAGGAGATGTCAAGTGACCTGAAATTGAAAGATCAAGAAAAAGCCAGAAGAGCAAGCAACCCAAACAATAAGTGGACTCACATGAGTGATTCCAGATCTCTGCCCTAGACTCCTTTCTCCTTTGAAAAAAACTGGCCAAGTGTGGTGACTCATACCTGTAATCTTTGCACTTTGGGAGACTAAGGCAGGAGGATGCCTTGAGGCCAAGAGTGCAAGACCACCCTGAGCAACATAGCAAGATTCTATCTCTACAAAAAGTTGTTTTGTTTTGTTTTAACTAGCCAGGTGTGGTGACACACGTTTGTAGTCCCAGCTACCCAGGAGACCAAAGCAGGAGGATCCCTTCAGCCCAGGGGTCAAGGTTATAGTGCATCACTGCACTCCAGCCTGGGTGACAGAGCAAGACTTATCTCAAAACAGAGAGAGAAAGAGAAAGGGAAAGCGAACATCACAAACCAAGCTAGCACCTTCATCACAGAAAAATCAGACCTTCTGTCTATATTCAATTCTTATTTAAATATTCAATGCCCCCCCAAAAGCACACAAAGCTTCCAAGGCATTAGAAAGCATAGATTTCAGTCCTTTCAATGAGGCAGAAAAGCTTGGATTTTGCCTTTCTTTCCCCTCTGAGGCCACTAACATTCCTCCAGCAAGTCTCCATCCCCTCTGCTCCACTTCATCCTGGCAAACACCAACTCTCAAGATGGGTCCCTTCCTGTTCTAGGTCAACGGAAGCTCCAAAAGTTTTCTGTATCTCTATTACAATAATAATCACTTATATTTTAAAAGGTTATTTCTAGTCAGATTCCAGTTAAAACTGCAGGAGTGGCTTGAATTTAAAAGTGCACATTTTTCTGCCCTTGGAATTGTGCCCACCCCCTTTTCTATTTACACATTCAGGCTTAATTGTAAGACTGACCTTATCAACCAGGATAACCATTCACCCCTTGAGGAAAAAAAAGAAGAACCAGTGGCATAGCTCCCTGATATCACCTAGCGCCAACCCACTTTTGAAGACCACCAGATATCTCCAGGTTATAGGGGGAGGGGGTACACGGGTCTCATGTACTTTACAGGCCTCATGTTACCTAGGTAATGATTTCTCACAACTCAGATTATATAGTCCCTTTCACTCCTTTGTTCAGGGAGGCAGTGGTTTTCAATGCATTAGCCTCACTCTGTCTCCCTTGGCCTGGCAAAGAATAAGTCTCTTTTTCTCCCAGTTTACTGCCTCTTGTCCTCAATTGGTCTGAGAGGGTCAGCGGCCAGTTTGCTGGATGGAGCCAAAACATTCCCAGCCCCAGCACGTCTGACTGCTCCCTGTTTCACTCTCTGGGATCTCAGGAAAGATGACTCTGTGACATCACTCACCTTACACAGTGAGAAATACAAATCAACCACTAACAAGAAGCGAACAATGGTTGATGACAAGTTAACCATTTTCCAAAAAATTCCAAATCACGTTCCATGTGGACATGGAAATGACCATCTGGGAATCACCTTGGTCTGGGTTGGTCATACCACTACCCCTCTCTGGGATCACGAGCCTGAAGAGGTAGCTGTACGAAGGTTTCGCTGGTTGAAGATTAGAACAATGGCACTGAGGGCCATTCTCCTTGGGGTGGGGACCTTCCAGGAGAACCAGCAATTCCCACGGCCTCACGCTGCTCCTGCCACCCTGACACCTCTTTGCCCCTGGAAATTCCTGCTCATTTCTGCTGTCAAAAACCGAGTGATCCCACAATTGCCACCATCATTCCCTTGGTGGCCCTGGACAGTGAAGAAGACAGGAGGGCACCCAGGACACAGGGCAGGAGCACACAAGCACTCGTGGCAACAGCTTCTGCACCGAACATGAAGAAAACACCCAGGGCTCGAGTAGGTGGATTCACACCTCCACCACTGTCAAAAAGGAAACACAGACCCACCCCCAACTCACATTTTCTGGGGCAGCGAGTGCCCTTGGAATCCTCTTCCCTCTCAGAGCCACTCTGGTGGTTTTGTTAATCTGATTTTTTTTTTTTTGAGTTGGAGTCTCACTCTGTCACCCAGACTGGAGTGCAGTG